TTGGCTTGAAGTTGGCCTCTAGGGTTGTTTTCCACATTCCCATTGAGTCCTTGATAAAGGCTCTTAGAGTCCTGTTGATGTTGTACAGTTCCAAGCATTCCAGGATCCATGTGTGAGGCATTGAGTCATAGGCTTTCTTGTAGTCAATCCAGGCAGTGCACAGGTTGGTATGCCTGGTCTTGCAGTCTTGAGTGACTACTTTATCAACCAGTAGCTGGAGCTTTGCTCCTCTGGTCTTATTACCAATTCCTTTCTGGGTGTTGCTCATGTACTGAGCCATGTGCCTGCTCATCTTAGCTGCTATGATGCCTGACAGGAGTTTCCATGTTGCGCAGAGGCAGGTTATTGGGCGGTAGTTGGATGGTACTGCTCCCTTCTGAGGGTCCTTCAGGATCAGGACTGTCCAGCCTTCGGTTAACCACTCAGGGTGAGTTCCATCCATTAGTAGCTGGTTCATTTGTCCCACCAGGTGCTCATGCAGTGAAGTTAGCTTCTTTAACCAGTAGGTATGGATCATGCCAGGGCCTGGTGCTGTCCAGCTCTTCGTACTTGAGACCCTCTCTTGAATGTCTGCTGTTGTGATGGTTATTGGGTCTTATTCAGGGAGGTTGCTGTGGTCTGCTCTCAGGTCCACCAGCCACTGGCCATTGTTGTTATGTGATGCCTCCTGTGGTGGTGATGATGATGATGATGATATCTCCCCCCTGACCTGGCATCCTGGCTCCCCCTTGTTGTAGCATTCGTGTTGTACTTCATCAATCTCTAGTTGTGATAGCAGGTGCTTCTTGCGGATGTTAGAGCACCGAGCTACTAGTTGTTTCGATGTTAGTCTAGATATAGGGTTACAAAGTATCCATAGGTCCCACATTCTCCGTATGTAACTCCTCTTGCTGGCGTTATTAGTATATTTATTTTTTGTTGAATGTTTCTTTTGTTCTTTCCCTTTAGTTTTGGCAGCTCTGGGTTGATGTGCATGCTTGGTCGTTTTTTACAGACATTCTTGTTTTTGAATATACTGATATTCTTTTTTTTTGTCATGGCTAGAGTGTGATACCGACTAAATTAATTCAGACAAACCATCCCAATTTAAAGGATCATTTAATATTACAATTATTCTGAATAGAGTAGTGTTTAAACACATAATCTTGTAGTTAGGGAACAGAGAACAGAGATCAGAGAACAGAGACTCTCCTCTTGCAATGGAATAGATAAAGCATAAGAAGATTGTCAGAGCACCAGTCAGTCAAGTCATTGGATGTCGGTCCCGAGTCGGTTCCCCTGTCAGCCCCAGTCAGTCATCGTTTCCCCCCCGGCCCTCCGAGGCCGGGCTTGTGGTACACTGTTCACGGTAGCATGGTCATCCTCTCTCTCTCTTCTGCTGGTCTAACCCAGCCTTTATCTGCTCATACTCACACAGCTCTGCACGGCCGGAGCCATGAAGACGCGGTCCCATGCCAGCTACCCACACACACCTTCTTCCTAGCATTGTCTAAACTGTCCAGTACGTATATCCATTCCCTATCAGAGGAGGAAGTCACTCAGGATGTTGACCCATAAGTTAATCAAGGGGGACACAGATATTCTTGCCTGCGCCAGAGACAGATCAAGCTTCCGCACACACTGAGCTCACCCTTACATAACTATTACAAATAATACTGTATCTATATGAACTACATACTGTTCTATTACATATCACTTCTGGAATCTGGTTTATTTCAAACCACTACATTTTTTATAATGATAAACTACAATCCAAGTCTCAGAATTAATTAATTTAGTGGTATTGCTGAGTAAACATTTTATACATGTATGCACATGGAAAGAAACTGCCTAACTTCATGCACTTCATGAATTATTTTAAACTTTACTTTGGTTCTTTATCAAAATGCTTTAAGTAAAAAAAACAAATTGCATCAAATCATGTCTCTCTTATTATTTTGAAATGTATGTGTTGTGTGTTACTTATCGTTTCTTTTTTATTTAATTCTTCCTATGCCATATAGTTTGTCCTGTGTTTTGTTGCTCTTTATATAGCTCTGACTTGTTTTTCTGTAAGATTCCCCTTACGTTTTTGTGTTTATATTTATGCTTTTCCTAGTATTTCCACTAAGTGTTGTTCTGGCGATAATGTTCCCTTAGTTGTACTGTACATATAATTTAATGCAATAAAACATTCTAAACACGTGCTTGCTGTATTGGGGTGTATGGCTGTATGGCTGTCGATACGTATGCATGATTTTTACATATACCAAAACTCTTCATTAGTATTTCTTATTTTAAAAATATTACAAACATACATAACATTAGGTGTTGAGATGCACATAACATTATTGTGGCAAACCTCTGAAGTAAAAGACAAGTAAGCCAAAACTTTCTGATCAGGCGAACGTTACAGCTGCCAATGTTTAGGTCCTGTGAGCTTATGAGGTAGTTGGGTTGCTGAAGTTAGTTTTTCAAGGCATTAAAGTTGTTATTTTAAATGCTTATACGGCACGAATTTGGATCAATGTAAATGACCAATGGTAAGTGAAAAGCCAGGTATACCTATTTTGTTATGCGACGCGGCGTTAATATACGCTATCTTTTAGGGAGACAGATTTGTGATTGCTAGCATAGTAGCTAACGTTATACAGAATGCTTTATTTTGGTTTTTCAGACTATGGACAATATGTATATGTTACCAGTGGTGTGGCCGTATGGGCTAATAGTATTTGCTCATATGTGTCGAATTGCCACTGTGTTTTAAATGAGGATTTTACAGTTTAAATTTTGAATAATGACTGTTTGATGTTGGCAAAATCGTAATAAATGCAAGTTCCCACCTATGATAAATTTAGCTTCTATAATTTACCCCAAAAGCCTTTCCTTTCAAATTTCAAGGTTGGTAGTACTCTCCTATGGAAGTCCATTTCTTCCATGGAAAAAAAAAATGTTGTTTTTCTTGGAGGTACTTTGCTCCGTGTTATTGTACTCCTTTACCACCTTTAATTAAATTGCCTTCTTCCTGCATTAACTTTTCTCTTCTTGGACATTTTGGGATTAATTGTTGGTATTTCTCATTTCCACTTGTTGGGAAATTGCTGGTTAAATGCTGAAGGCAAAACACTGATCTAGTGGTGAGATGCCAATATTTCCTGAAATCAATATGCATTGTGGGAGATGTAGTTTATGGTCAGTGTAAGTTTTCAATTAGTATAGATTTGTATTTTAAGACAGCCATACACATTTTAAGCTTTCGAGGGCCACATAAAATGATCTGGCCAGATTCGGCTTGCGGACCTTGAGTTTGACACATGCACCTTAGAGGATCTGGCAGGGCTGGGACTTCTTATAGAGGTGGTCCCCTCGGGCCTGGCATGTCCTACCAGAGGCTGCCTGGATGCTAGGTGCATCTCTCCATTTACTGTAAGCCTCGCCATTAATGCTGTAAGTTCTGTGATACCACGGTCCTCTGTGGGATTTCTCCAGCACAGTTGATGTGGATTAACTCACTAATTGTGTCTGGCCATGGTCTCTGTCACTTCTGTGATGAGAGGATCCTCATGAATAAGACAATATGTGGATGCATGTTAAGACCACTTGTTATTTTAACCTTAAAACTGCCCAAAAATAAGAACTTAAATAACACCTAAATTAATGCTAAAAAGTCTGCAATATTGCAATAAATTTAGAAACATTTTTTCTTTATAGTAATAATTACTTGTGTGTTAATTAATAAACCTGGTAAAAATAGTAATTTATACATGTTTCTCTTCCACTGGCGTCTTCTTTAATTTAGTTATATTTCTGATCACGTTCCTGTTTGTCAAGCAGCTACAGTACATGTACTATCCATCATTAGTTTTTTAGCAGACTAGAAATAACTGTACTGAAACCTTTTACAGCCATATAGAAGCTGTAAAACAGTGGTGAGAGATGATGGGTATGTTTGTGTGCTTTTCTGCTTGGATTAACACATTCATGTGCTCTGCATTAGATGTGTGCACTTCAGTCAACTTAAGTAAGCATTAAAAAAAATCTTTAAGCATTAAATTGTTTGTATTCACATTATAAGCAACATGAATTGGCTTTGATGAAAAAAAAAATCAGTTTGTACTCAAGTGAGTCATTGATTTCATCAACCTTCCTTGCGGTCACTTGGCTTCTGCAAGGTGTTGATGCTTGTTGAATGTATCTTTATTGAAGATGAATTAGTCGAATAATGGATAGTCTCTGTCTGCATTTGAAGGGTGTACATTATGAAATGAGGACCACACATGGAATGTGTCCCCTGTAGAACTCTACTGCTTGATTCTGGAATAATTTTGTTGAAAGTAATACTAATTGCATGTCTTTTATTATTAACATAAACTTGTATCTTCATACAACCTTCAAAGAAACTAATAGCTTGCCTTTATTGAACATAACTGAACAAGACTGCATCAAATCAACACTTTGTGCAAAAACTAGATGTTATAAAGTTATAAAACCAAACATTTTTCTCCTACAGTTTATTACTTTCATACATTTCTCTTTAGCATCTCATTATGTTGTTATGCTGATGACCCACAGTTGCACCTCCCAGTTAAGCTGACTGAATATGCAATAGTGCATATAATGGCTAATTTCAGACCAAATGTAATGTGTAAAACTGATGGAATGCACCTTTTAATATGTCATAATTATGACTACTTAAGTTTAACTTCTGTCTTAATTTAGAATATTTTTATTTTCTGTTGTGCCAAACTTGTCTTTTTTTAAACATGTACTGTTGTTTGCAATGCAAAGACAGATTGTATTAATATTCAACGCACATTGTTTTTCTTTTTCCTAAAACCTGTTTTTCAGCTGCCATGACTATAGTAATTGGATTTGAGGGCAGTGCCAATAAGATTGGAGTAGGAATCATCAGGAATGGTGAAGTGCTTTCCAACCCTAGGCGGACCTACATTACACCCCCAGGTCAAGGCAAGTTGGAGTTTATGCTGAAACAGTGATGCCACCTTTACTTCTCTGGTGATACATTATTGTATAACAATCCCATATATGAAGTTGAAAGATGTTATTTTACCCATCAGGGTTCATGCCGAGTGACACAGCCAGGCACCACCGTGCTGTCATACTAAGCATCCTGAAGGAAGCACTGGAGCAAGCAGGGCTGAAGCCTGCAGATATTGACTGTGTGGCATACACCAAAGGTAACATAATCTTCTAGTAAAGTAAGACTTCACTTGCCAGATGTGTGTGTGAATCAAAAGTATAATAAAGTTAAAATGTGTGCCCATATCATCACGTTACCTCAGATGTTCCCAGTATTTGCCTTAAGACATTACAGAGTCTGTGGGTGGAGGCAGAGCTGCCACTTCAACCTTTTTTTAAAGTTTCTTTATTTACTTAAGATACTGTAGTTAAACATCTATCCACACTTAAACGTGATATACTTTATATACATACAGTGGAATCATAAAGTAATTTGACCCCTTCACTTTTTGCACACTGTACGAATCAGAATCAGCTTTATTGGCCAGGTGTGTTGGACACACGAAGAATTTGACTATGGTACAGCAGCTCTCAACGTGTATGTACACGTCCTTATGTAGTCAAGTCAAGATTTTTATTTTCCATTTATGCATAAACAGACAGTCTAGGCATATAGGAATTCTTGTGCAGCTCTCCTTTGGAGTCAGGTAAGGAGTCAAAAGCCAGAAAGAACACTTAGTCTTAAAATAAAAAAAGTTACATAAAGGCGACAAAGCATTAAAACAGCAATACACAAAAATAGGGTAATAGTATTTTCCCAGTGAACTTCAAACATCGCACTTATTAATTCACATGGTGGAGTTGGATAGGTCATTATGCTTGATAGAGCAGTCGTCTCCCAACCGGAGGGTTGGAGGTTCGACATGTGGACTGCAGGCACAGAGATTTGAAGTGTCCTTGGGCAAGATACTGAACCCCCAAGTTGCCCCCGATGGTTAGAGCCATTGGTTGAGTTGGTGCCACAGATGGCTGCCTCGGTTCTGTACCAGAAACAAATTCCTTGTGTGTAACATACTTGGCAATAAAGGTGATTATCCTTGTCCTTGTTTTGTTCCTGTAGTTTGTGACTGCCTGGATTCCCTGTCACATTCTGTGTGTGTTGTTATTCATATAGTAGCTCTCTAGTTTTTGGAAGTATTTTCTCTTTGCGGTTCTGATGGACTTCTGTAGCTGGTACTGGGCTTTCCTGTACTTGCTTGGTCCCCTGACTTAAAAGCCTCTTGTTGCTTCCTGATTTTCTGTTTACTATCCCTATTAAACCAGCGTTTCTGGTTGGGGAAAACACACGCCGTTCTAACTGGTGCGCATATGGACGTGCACCAGCTGATGTAGGCACTCACAGTCTCTGCATATTCATGGATGTCATCTGTGGCCTCTTTGAAGATGCTCCAGTCTGTGGCCTCTGGACAGCCCTGCAGGCTGGCCTGTGCACAGTTGTTCCAGGTGTTTACAGTTCTCACTGAGAAGATTTCGGAGATAATCTTCCAGTCTGTGCACAAGGACTGTCTGATGAAAGTGGCCGTCTTGCCGCTTTCAGCAGTGCTGCGATCCTGTCTGAACACAGAGTAACCATCCAGAGTTATACCCTCATCGGGAGTATCTTTTCCCACCCATGTTTCACAAAAACACAGCAACGCCATCTTGAAAAGGCAGCATGTAAGGCAGCAATGGTCAAGTAAACAATATAAGGCTGCGAGAACAGAAAGGAAAGAAGTAATGCGTAAACAAGCAAAAGCAAATGTGCATTAGTAAAAAAGATAAAAATAAAGTGTGTGTGTGTGTGAGAAAACAAAGCTTCCGAAATATCATTCAGAGCATCATAGGACATAGGAAACCTTCCACTGACATCAGATTAATGACATTGTTTTAACATTCCTGAGTTTGTAACATTGGCTGAAGCAGGGTTTGTCTTTGCATATCTGATATACCTAAGGTAAGAATATTTTATCATAGTAAGGAGAACATGTGGTGGTTGAAGGTCACTCTGATTTTCAGTTGCCTCATAAGGATGATATTAATTGCATTTCAAACAAAGATAGAATGGCTTTTATCAGCCTATCATGACAAATCTTCTCTGTTTCTTGAATGTTCTTCTAGGTCCCGGTATGGGTGCCCCGTTGGTGACGGTGGCCATTGTGGCTCGTACAGTTGCACAGCTCTGGGGGAAGCCGCTCCTTGGTGTCAACCACTGTATTGGACACATTGAGATGGGCCGGCTCATCACCAAAGCCAACAACCCCACTGTGCTTTATGTTAGTGGTGGGAATACGCAGGTTGGTTTCTGTTTGTAGGCCTCGCTTCTGAACAAAAACTATTCTGTAGTCATTACACACAGTGAGTTACAGCTAGATTATTAGTTAATATCATTAGACATTTGTCCATTTCTTCTTGTGCAGGTTATTGCATACTCAGAGCGACGGTACAGGATATTTGGGGAGACCATTGACATTGCAGTTGGCAACTGTTTGGACAGGTTTGCCAGAGTTATTAAGGTGTGTGTCATTATGGTCTTCATTACAGCAGTTGTTTGCCTTTCACTGTATCTGAGAGATGTGTGTTAATATTTATGTGGAATGGTTTCTCCAGATTTCCAATGACCCAAGTCCAGGCTACAACATAGAGCAGATGGCCAAGAAGTGAGTGAGTGGCACATTTGCAAATACAGTTACACGTGATCTTCAACTGTTGGCCACCAGGCGTTGTACTTTGGTACGGCTTAACTTTGTTTCTTGTCTTTGCTATTAGAGGGAGTCATTACGTGGAGCTGCCATATACAGTCAAAGGAATGGATGTCTCATTTTCTGGGATTTTATCTTACCTTGAGGTAAGTGGTTTACAGTGTTAAAAAATGTAGCTTTGCAAACTATCAATTACTTCACATTGGAAGAAATCAAACTACAGCAAAACTAATCTAGAGAAAAATGTAGTTTGGTAAACTAAAATTACTTAGAAAAAGTAGTTCAAACTACTTTGTAAAAAAAAAAAAAAGATCAAACTGACAATGTATATGGGATACAAAACTATAAGATTAAAAGAAAACATGCCAACAAAACAGTGCCACTCAGTCGAGTTAAGACAAAGTGTGTGTATATATACTGTATGTTTAATGCCACAATTTTTTTTATACACGATTAAAGCATGCACATTCTGTGATTGACACTTAGACCGCCCTGTAGTTTGGGAAATCAGGAAGTGATGCAGTAGCAGAAATTATAAAGAAAAGGGTCTTTTGAATGGCAAGTTCAACTTCAAAGCCTTGTCAGATGGTTTTCTTGACAGGACCAAAGTTATTTGCATTTACTGTAGATATGAATTGAGTTACCACTGGAGTACGCCGAGTCTAAAATACCACTTGCTGGCCAAGCACACGGCTGATGCAGAGAGCCCCCCCCTTTCATCAAAGGCAGACTACACTGGATAGTTTGCAATGGAGACATCTGGACAACTCTACAAGCAACAGTCTTTCAACAGTGATAGCAAGATGGGTAGCTACAGCTTGCAGGCAAATTAACATTGTGAAGGATGAGGGTCTCCTGAAATAATTCGCATTGCATCCAAAGACTGCACGTATGAATTGTCTTCAAGAGCCACCACTGTAACCAAACTGTATGAAGACAGCAAGGCTAAAGTGGAGGAGGTGCTGGGACAGACCAACACAGCTGTGCTCACCAGTGCTCGGGGGCGGCTGTGGCTAAGGAGGTAGAGTGGGTCGTTTCCTAACAGTTCCATTCCTGGCTTGTCCAGTCAACATGTCGAAGTGTCCTTGAGCAAGACACTGAACCCCCAGTTGCTCCCGGTGATAACACCGGCGTGTGAATGTGTGTGTGTTTGGGAGTGCAAATGGGTTAATGGCCAAGTAGTGTGAAAGTGCTTTGTGTGCTGTAAAGCATAGAAATGATCTTTTCTGCAGTCCTGACTGTCCGCTGAAGTCTGTACTTGTCCTGTTTGGTTGCTGAGCCAAACCAGCAACCAAACAGTATATCAAACTGTATATCATATTATTGTATTGTAATTACTGATGCATTATTGTGTACATCACATTTCATGTTGTGTTTGGTAAAGGGGGAGCTAGTTTTTAACTAGCTTATGTGTATTTAATTTGAATTACTGCTGGGTAGCTTGTGAATTTTCCACCACAGATCAATGAAGTTTTATAATTCTACTGTAGTTTTTGTATTAATCTGGTTATGAAAGGTAATTAATAACTAAAGTTATAAAATGTAGTGGAGTAAAAGTATGAAGAAAATGAAAATACTCAAAGGACAGATGGCTCAAAATTGTGTTTAAGTACAGTACCTGAGTAAATGTACTTTTAGTTGCTTTCCACCACTGCTTAGGACAGAGAAGAAATGATTAATTTGTAATTACTTGTGAGTTAACTATGGACAATAATACAATTAATCACAATTAAATATTGATTATTAGCACTTATATATGAATGACAGCAGTCTCTCCAAATTCTCATCCAAAAGATTTAGGGTTAGGGAAGCAATAGTATAATAAAATATCAATAACCCAAAATAATTTGTAGTTGCAGACTGCAACTACAAATTATTTTATATAACTACTGCAACTTGCAGTAGTTAACTACACAAAAAAATGGCGACAATGTAATTTAACAACTTCAGTCATTACACAACTCTGAATGTGGTTGAACTACCAGCAAATGGCTGCAAGATACTCCCCAACACTGGTGGTTTGTCAGTGGGGCTATTTATCTACAGTGCAGTGGTGCTAGAAGATTTGTGAACCCTTTGAAATGGTGTCTGTCTTGTGCTTGACTGGATTCTCTTTATCTGGTTTAAGGACTTAGATGAGGATCTGGTCATGTTTTAGGTCACCTGTAGAAATATAGAACATTTTGAAGGGTTCACAAACTTTGTTGCACCACTGTAAGTGGTATCATCTAATGAATGACTGATCCTTTATCATGTTTTGACATAATGTGGATGCTAATGAAGAAAATCCTGATGCTTGGACTCGAATATACAGTAGTGATCCACTTTTTGTTTATTTTATAAATTAAAAACAAATATATTTATATTGTGCATGCATTACTGTCAGTTTTTAATTTAGTTTTTTAATGTTCATATATTGATTCATATGTAATATACAGTGCCTTGCGAAAGTATTCGGCCCCCTTGAACTTTGCGACCTTTTGCCACATTTCAGGCTTCAAACATAAAGATATAAAACTGTAATTTTTTGGGAAGAATCAACAACAAGTGGGACACAATCATGAAGTGGAACGAAATTTATTGGATATTTCAAACGTTTTTAACAAATAAAAAACTGAAAAATTGGGCGTGCAAAATTATTCAACCCCCTTAAGTTAATACGTTGTAGCGCCACCTTTTGCTGCGATTACAGCTGTAAATCGCTTGGGGTATGTCTCTATCAGTTTTGCACATCGAGAGACTGAAATTTTTGCCCATGCCTCCTTGCAAAACAGCTCGAGCTCAGTGAGGTTGGATGGAGAGCATTTGTGAACAGCAGTTTTCAGTTCTTTCCACAGATTCTCGATTGGATTCAGGTCTGGACTTTGACTTGGCCATTCTAACACCTGGATATGTTTATTTGTGAACCATTCCATTGTAGATTTTGCTTTATGTTTTGGATCATTGTCTTGTTGGAAGACAAATCTCCGTCCCAGTCTCAGGTCTTTTGCAGACTCCATCAGGTTTCCTTCCAGAATGGTCCTGTATTTGGCTCCATCCATCTTCCCATCAATTTGAACCATCTTCCCTGTCCCCAAACATGTGGAAGAAGGTGCTCTGGTCAGATGAAACCAACATCGAACTTTTTGGCAACAATGCAAAACGTTATGTTTGGCGTAAAAGCAACACAGCTCATCACCCTGAACACACCATCCCCATTGTCAAACATGGTGGTGGCAGCATCCTGGTTTGGGCCTGCTTTTCTTCAGCAGGGACAGGGAAGATGGTTAAACTTGATGGGAAGATGGATGGAGCCAAATACAGGACCATTCTGGAAGGAAACCTGATGGAGTCTGCAAAAGACCTGAGACTGGGGCGGAGATTTGTCTTCCAACAAGACAATGATCCAAAACATAAAGCAAAATCTACAATGGAATGGTTCCCAAATAAACATATCCAGGTGTTAGAATGGCCAAGTCAAAGTCCAGACCTGAATCCACTCGAGAATCTGTGGAAAGAACTGAAAACTGCTGTTCACAAATGCTCTCCATCCAACCTCACTGAGCTCGAGCTGTTTTGCAAGGAGGCATGGGCAAAAATTTCAGTCTCTCGATGTGCAAAACTGATAGAGACATACCCCAAGTGACTTACAGCTGTAATCGCAGCAAAAGGTGGCGCTACAAAGTATTAACTTAAGGGGGCTGAATAATTTTGCACGCCCAATTTTTCAGTTTTTTATTTGTTAAAAAAGTTTGAAATATCCAATAAATTTCGTTCCACTTCATGATTGTGTCCCACTTGTTGTTGATTCTTCACAACAAATTACAGTTTTATATCTTTATGTTTGAAGCCTGAAATGTGGCAAAAGGTCGCAAAGTTCAAGGGGGCCGAATACTTTCGCAAGGCACTGTATATGAACCTCCATGAAAGGTGTTGTATAAAGTTTTGATCTTTTTTTTTCCCCTTCCATAGGATGCTGCTGACAAGTTGCTGAGCTCGGGTCAATGTACAGCAGAGGACCTATGTTTCTCCCTGCAGGTCAGCACCCAGTTAGTGTGCTAATGTAGTGCTACCATCCATGCAGAATCTGAGTGGCTCAGTACATCAAATGATTTTTAATTTAGACATTACTACCGAGCACTAATGCCTCTTTTCCTGCAGGAGACGGTATTCTCAATGCTAGTTGAGATCACAGAGAGGGCCATGGCTCACTGTGGCTCTCAGGAGGTCCTCATTGTTGGGGGTGTTGGCTGTAAGTACATCAGAAATGGATGCTTGAAGGAAAAATCCTATCTAAAATATTGGGTTGGTTCCTTTGAAAGAAAGGAACAAGCTTGCTCATGTTCTTTTAAGACCAGAAAAATTACTTCCCACAAGAACACAAATGTTGTCACTTCTGAACCTGACAGTCACCAAGCTGCTGTTAGCAGATTTGAGATGTTGGATACACAACACAAGATTTACGTATCTCATCTTTGTAACTAGAAAAAGCTAAGAATGTCCATGCAGTGTGAGTGTTCATATATTTTCTAAATAAAAAGAAAAGATACTGATCCATCAAAAACCCTCACATTGATTCATTCACCAGAAGATTTGATCTGTGTTTCTATGATTTTGAAGCTGGCCTTTAACGAGCATGACCTGTTGTTTTGTCTGCAGGTAACCTGCGTTTGCAGGAGATGATGGGGGTGATGTGTAAGGAGAGAGGAGCCAAGCTGTTTGCCACAGATGAACGGTAAGCCAGGCTGTCCACACTTGGCACATTAACTTTCATTTCCACTGAAATCACACCAAAGTTAGCTTCAGATTCACTTCCATGAACAGTAGACTGGAGGCCCCTGGACTGCAACTTTAACCACTCCCATACAATAGAACTGTAGTGTGTTGGCACTTAATGGTCAGGTGTTACACATCCCCCTTTTGAAGCAACGGGAACTTCAGAATAAGTCTAGAATTTTAAAAGTCTATGAAGAAACAATCTGTGTAGAAGTATGTTCACAAAACCAAACCTTTGCATTTTTAATATCTACTACAAACCATATATACTTTTAACCATTTTAAATCCATACATGTTTCAGAATTTGTTCTTCTCCCAGGTTGGTAATGATGCTATTCATTTAAGTGTTGTAATTAGGGTTGTAACAGACTAAGAATTTTGTCATATACTGTTTGTGTGTGTGTGTATTATATAGCCTAGACTGTCAGAAAATCAACTGGCATGAATTTCAGTAATGATTTTGACCACATTAATATTGGTATTTAAATGCAAAAGTGGAACACATTTCTGAGCTTTTAAAACCAAGAAAAGACAGCTGCATATGATGTAATAGTTGGATTGCAACCTGCTTAAATGGACAACATACTGTATGTCGGGTTGCCATATGGATTTGTTGGAATAATGAAACAGGCAGAGCACTTGTATTTCTGTTGAAACTATGCTCTTATAGGCATTTATTTCTTCTGAGACATTGTTATAGCCTAGTTTACCAACAAGTTAAGCTTCTCCCAGCAGTTGACCACAGCGCATATTGTTGCTGTGTTTGATGCATGCCAGCTTGCACTGCAAGTGATTCCTCTTGTTTAGAATTCCTCATTGAAATGTTTTCCCCAAGCACTTTTGTTAGCTTCCTAGTCACGTTCAGATGGAGCACAGAAACAGTTGGTAAACGACTGTGTTGCACTTTAACAGAGACAGGCAAACAACAAACCAGACTTGCATAACATTAGGCTATGCAAAACCAGCCACATCATTGCAGCAGTCTTTTCTCTTGTAAAAGTAGACCATGATGTTTGAAAACACTTTTAATAAAATATAAATGTCACCTTTTATGTGGCTTGTCCTAGTGGGTTTTGCTGTGCTTTTCTCCTTATTCTGCAATTTGTTAAATAGATCCAACCTTAATGTACATCCATGTATCATATAGTGTCATTGTTGAAGTGGGTATCCCCCCCCCGACCACAGGGGGAAGTATTGAGCAAACTGCTGCTTGGCACACCAAAATGAGGAGAAAATGACAAACTACTGGACTGGAGCTGCCTTCTATTGTAATGCATGCTGGACTAGAAGTCTGCTGACTGATGGCTCCTGCGACTATTGACTCAATTATTCAACTATTAGGGGACAGCCCTAGCAGTAATGCTGCAAGGAATTGGAAATAAATCTGTACAAATGTACAATTTCTAAACTTTGCCTATAATAAAAGCAGTGTTTATTGTGATGAACACATGCCCTCACTGCTGAGTTCCTAAAATAATTTGGGACTGCAGTCTGCCAGGAACATTGTATTCCAGGTTCAGTCCAAATCAACACACTGTTCACTTTGTGCCACAGATTCTGCATAGACAACGGAGCAATGATTGCTCAAGCTGGCTGGGAGATGTTTAGGTCTGGTCAGGTGACAGCACTGGAAGACTCATGGATTACACAAAGGTAAGTGTCTTGTTACATTTGACTGCTCTCCTGTCTAAATTAATGGTGATTTAATGATCTAGTATACTGGTCCACAAAACTGGCTCCACTAGCAGTATAAATTTAACTATTAACCTTAATCTAGGGTATGTACTGTGGTCTAGGATCTGTTTCTACTATATGCGCAAGAGTTTATAGTCTTTCTGCATCAAGTTATACCAGAATGTTTGTACTGACTGGCATGAAAAAGGTGATGGTGAAATTTATTGCATGAGGTTACGAGCACCTCCATGATGTCAGACTACCATGCAGCACTGTCACTCTTGGTTATGTTAACATTTCTTCTGTTGTAGGTACAGAACAGATGAAGTGGAGGTGACATGGAGAGACTGACTGATGAATGTTGCTAAATACGTTGTTGCAGCAGGTCTGTTACAACTGTAATACTACGG